TGGGGATTCGAACCCGCCACCTTAGGTGTATGTGGCTGGTGCCTTAGCCGCTTGAGCCACAGGCGCCAAGCCCTAATGGTTTTTTTAAAAGAAACTCACAGTGAACTTAACAATTTGTCAAAAAGCTGTTGTTTAATTGGCCACATTATCAGTTCAAATGAGCTAAAATTTAAGTTACCAAAAACCCAACTCTGAAGGTGACTGATGTGAAGGGTATGTGCTGGCTCGTGTAACTGGAAGGCCAGCACCAGGCTGCACTCCAAGTTGACCCAATTCGGCAACACGTCAGTGCCGTGGAGGATTTAGCTTCTTTCTTTCCATGCTACAGCCTGAGCACTCACCTGCGTCTTGTTCCGACAGGGTGGTTGCAAACCATTCCCAGCCCCGGGCAGTTTCTCTCCCCTGCCTGGGGATGTTAACAGCTTGCCCAGAAAACCTCCCGTGTCTCATTGATCCTGACTGAGGTGTTTGCCCGTGCCCTGAACCAGCCACTGTGGCTGGGGATGGGACTTGTGAGCAGCTCAGACTGAATCCGCTTCCCACAAAGTGCAGGCTGTGGGGGGAGGCACCTAAACGCAGTCAGAACTGGGTCATTGTCTAGGAGAAGAGGCAGCCGGTAAGGGGCAACAGCCACACTGTCCACTGGGCCATGGGACTTGAAGTCCTTTGGGTTTTGTTTATAAAAGTACTTACGTTTTGCTGATTTTCCCCTTTCTTTCTGTGTCTTTAAGGATCTGTTACAACAACCAAACGGACAGGCATTCCAGCACCACGGGAATTTTCAGTCACCGTCTCGAGAGAGAGGTCTGTGCCGCATGGTCTCTCCAACCCCAGGAAACCGGTGTCCAGTCCGACTTCATCCAGCACCCCCACCCCCACCAAGCACCTGAGGCCCTCTTCCACGAAACCCAGGCAGGAGAATGAGAGTGGAGAAAAGGCCGTGCTGGAGTCCCAGATTCGGGAACTTTTGGCAGAAGCCAAAGCGAAAGACAGTGAAATTAATAGGCTACGAAGTGAGTTAAAGAAATGCAAAGAAAAAAGGACTCTGAACATAGAAGGGGCTGATGCTTTGGGGCCAAATGCAGATGGAACATCAGTCTCACCAGGGGACACGGAACCTTTACTAAGAGCTCTTGAGGAGAAAAACAAGAACTTCCAGAAAGAGCTTGCTCACCTGGAGGAAGAAAACCAGGCCTTGAAGGAGAAACTGACCTGTCTTGAGCAATCTCCAAATTCAGAAGGGGCAGCAAGTCACACCTGTGACAGCAGCTGCCCAACATCCATAACTCAAGAGTCAAGCTTCGGAAGCCCTACTGGAAATCAGTCGTCAAGTGAGATTGATGATTATAAAAAAGACATACATGGAAATGCATTACGGACATCGGGGTCCTCGAGCAGTGACGTCACCAAAGCGTCTTTGTCCCCAGATGCCTCTGACTTTGAGCACATTACAGCAGACACCCTCTCAAGGCCCCTGTCCTCCACAAGCAACCCCTTGAAGGGTTCCAAGTGTTCCACCGCTGGCAGTTCCCCAAACAATGCGAGTGAACTGTCCCTGGCCTCCCTCACGGAGAAGATACAGAAGATGGAAGAGAATCAGCACAGCACTGCAGAAGAGCTGCAGGCCACGCTGCAGGAGCTGTCAGACCAGCAGCAGATGGTGCAGGAGCTGACGGCCGAGAATGAGAAACTGGTGGACGAGAAGACAATTTTAGAGACATCCTTTCATCAGCATCGAGAGAGGGCAGAGCAGCTAAGTCAAGAAAATGAGAAGCTGATAAATCTTTTACAAGAGCGAGTGAAGATCGAAGAGCCCAGCACTCAGGAAGGGAAACTCCTGGAGCTGGAGCAGAAGTGCGCGGACATTCTCGAGCAGAGCCGCTTTGAGAGAGAGAAGCTGCTCAACATCCAGCAGCAGCTGACCTGCAGCTTACGGAAGGTGGAGGAGGAAAACCAGGGCACCTTAGAAATGATCAAACGCCTGAAGGAGGAAAATGAAAAACTGAACGGGTTTCTAGAACTGGAACGGCACAATAGTAGCGTGATGGCACAAACACTGGAAGAGTACAGAGTTACCCTGGAAGGGGTGAAGGTAGAGAACGGGTCTTTGAAGGCCCATTTGGAGGGAGAGAAGCAAAAGGCCTTAGAGACCAGCACCTTGGGACAGACGGCAGAAAGCTGTGAAGTTCAGGAAATGCTGAGGGTCACTCGAGCTGAGAAGGAGCAACTGGAACTGTCTTGCGCTGAGCTCAGACAAGAATTACTAAAGGCAAACGGTGAAATTAAGCGCATTTCAAGCCTGCTAGCCAAGGTAAGAGGAGATACCTCTTTAAGTGGTACTCGCTCATCTTTGTTGAGATTTGTCTCCTTGATCTTTAAATTCACAGAGCAAAGAAAACCATTTGCTCAGTCTGTTCATTCATGAATCCAGCATTCTCGCTCAAAGACCTGTTAGAGTCCAGACAGATTGGCATTGGGGGTACAAAAATGAAACACCCCGATTTCTGACTATAGGCATTTCAAAGTGTAGGGGGGATGTAATCAAATAAGAACATATGATGCAATGATTAAGAATATCTTAGAGTCCAGCACAAAGAAGAGATGTCTGGTGGGTGGCGCTTGTGGCTCAAAGGAGTAGGGAGCAGGCCCCCTATACCGGATGTGGCAGGTTCAAACCTGGCTGCGGGCCAAATACTGCAAAAAAAAGAAGAGACATCTGGTGTAATATGGGAGAGATGGGGGTAGTGCAAAGAGGACTTCTTGGAAGACGTGGTAACTTGAGTCGTGAAGATTGTGAATTAGTCATATCTATTGGTTAGCATGCTTTTAGCTACTAGGAAGTTTTCCCACTGAACCTCTATTTTGGTGTTTTCTTACAGACACGTGTGTGTACATGTATCTCATAAGTTAAAAAAAACAGTTTATAATAGGATCATCCTGTGCATGTTACTGACTTTTTTTGTGTTTAACTTTTTTTCAGTATATTGTCATCATTAAATATTCTCTTAAAACATTTAAACATTATTTTAAAGGCTGGATAGTAGTTTATTATATAAATATTTCATATTTACCAGTCCCTGGTTGTTGAACATACATGTTTTATTGGACATTTACGTTCTTTCCGGTCTTTCAATATTGTGAATACATTTTTTTATATCTCCCTGAGTGTTTCTTTAGGGGAAATTCCTAGACGTTGACTTACTGAGTCAAAGAGTGTAAACATTTTAAACACTTCCAACACATCCAGCCGCATTGCTCTTCAGAAATACTGCGCCAGTATGTTTCACCAGCAGTTGGTGAGAGCGCTTGTTTCCCTGAACCTTTGCCAACACTTGATATTAAATTGTTAATGTCGTTCAAATCTGTTACTTATTTCCTTTTTTAATCCCTTGCCTCTTTTTTTTT